CCTCAATTTAATGTGCACTATTTCTGGCAGTCTGCAAAGGCCATATGACTTGCCCAAGTTACCCAGTGGGTTTCCATAAATGAGTGGGGATTTGAACCCTGGTCTTCAGAGTACTAGTCCAACACCCAAACCACTATACCATGCTGGCTTACTGAGATAATACTACTGTATCTCATATTCCCCAACATAGAGAGGTCTACACGTGGTCTGGTGTATTCAGTTATGTCAGGGGTAGGCAACCTTTTTGAGCTGGGGGCCGGTTTGCTATCCCTCAGACAATTGGGGGGCCGAAGCACCATAAATAAATAAATAAATAAATAAATAAATATTAAAATTAAAAATAAAAAATTAAAAAATATGCATGCACACTCTCTCAGCCCCAGAAAAGCCATGGCAAAACCCCTGTGGAGATTTTGCCAAGAAAAACCTAACAATAATCAGTATCATTATGGTGGGCGGCGGAGGTGGCAGCGGCGGCGGCAGGACTGGCCTGGGGCCGGTCCAAAGGCCTCGGGAGGCCGCATCCGGCCCCCGGGCCTTAGGTTGCCTACCCCTGAGTTATGTGACTTTATTGCTTACCCTATTTGTTTTCCATCTTTTCTGTTACATGAAGATCTTCTGCTCTCTAAAGTAGTCCTACTTTTCCTGGCTGTTCTCATGCCTGGAATTCCCAACAAAATTCCTAACGGTGTATTATTATTATTATTCCAACTTTAGCTCCATTTAGCTCATCCTGAAGATGAAATGGCTTTGATCAGTGAAGGAGGTGGGGACATGCGGAAGCCACCCATAACTAACCAGCAGTAGGATGGTTCCAGAGCATTTATCCAAATTCTACTTCCAGAACATTTATCCAAATTCTGTTCCATTATAGAAAATGTCCACTGGTGACCTCCCAGCAACATTTAGCTAGCTTTTGTGGGAGAATGCTAAAATAAAGTTACTATGCTATGCACAATGCCTGGGCAACCTGTGGTTCCAGATGTTGAGGTACTATGGCTCCTGTTGTCCTTTTCAGGTGACTGGGTTTGGAGTCCAACAAAAGTTCCCTCCTATACATAAGTACTTGGGAGTATTTAGCCTAAATATAGTTGATAGTCTCAGCTTCATTAGGCTCACTAAATCAATGGCAATTTTGTAAGACAGTACTTATGTAAGTTCCTGTTGAGTCACTGAGTTTATTCTAGTTGACTAGCAAGTGATTTTAGCCAATGACATTGAATTTTGTCCTAAATCTCCTTCTTCTGTGAAACGTTTGGATGAACCCTTTAGCATGTGCTCCAAACTGGAATGTAGAAAACTTATCTTCCTCCTTAATTGATTTATATGGCATATCATGATGTAAATATCATGGCAAAGATCCATCTGAGGAAGTAGGCTCAAATCTATGAAAGCTCAAACTACTAACTTCTTTTTTTGTTAGTCTCAAGTTGCTACAAAATCCCTCTGCATACTGATTTTCCAGACTAACATGTCTTTGAATGTCATCATGTGTATGACTTAACATAAGCAACAAAGACATTATCTTCTCTGTATAATGGCCAACATGGTGTAGTGGTTTGGGTATTGGACTATGGCCCTGGAGGCTAGGGTTTGATTCCCCACTCAGCCATGGAAATCCATTGGGTGACCTGAAGAAAGTCACACACTCTCAGCTCCAGAAAGCCCCATGATAGGTTTGCCTTAGGCAGGGGTAAGCAACTTAAGGCCCGGGGGCCGGAAGCGGCCCCCCGAGGCCTTTGGACCGGCCCCAGGCCAGTCCTGCCGCAGCCTTTGCCCCCCGCCATGATGATATTGATTATTGTTGTTATTACTTGTTCTTGAGGTTTTCTTGGCAAAATCTCCACAGGGGTTTTGCCATGGATTTTCTGGGGCTGAGAGAGTGTGCATGCATGTTTTTTAAATATATATATATATTTTTTTATTTTTTTATTTTATTTTTTTATTTATTTTTGGTGCTTTGGCTGTTCTGAGGGACAGAAACCAGGCCCCCAGCTCAAAAAGGTTGCCTACCCCTGGCCTTAGGGCTTGTAAATTGGAAATGGCTTGTAGGCACACAACAGCAGCAAATACCTTCATTGTATCAAAACAACATATCCATGTGAGAATGGTTCTCATGCTTTGACCTCTGGCTCCCTATATGAGGTGTTCTTAGTTGGTGCTACAGTTTCAAATGTTGTAATCAGCATATCTGGAAGGACATTTAACCTAGTGAGATAGCAAGTGTATCTTGGGGCTGTCATACTTTGGGCATATCTTGGGATGAGGACTCACTGAAAAAGATGATAATATTCAGCAAAGTG